TACTTCATGCGATTTGAGCAGATGAGCTCAAAATTGTACCCTAATCTTTTCTCAAGGAAAAAACGGTATCACTTGTAAGAAGCTAGGATTTGCAGTTAGAATCTCATGGCTAACATAATTACTACTATACACTTACAATCTCTAGAACGTATAATCCATCTGCTCAAAACAATTAAGTGCTTACAGTGGGCGATACAAGATTTATCCATGCTCCAAACCCAAGAAGAAAAACAAACAGAAGAAGCGATAACAATCCTACAATGTCAAGAGAATTCACAAATTAAATAGACAGAACTATTTTAGCAGAGGTATATGTACGGCACATACAGCATGTACCATTGCAGCAATAGTGGAGGCGAGAGCCATCGGACAAAACTACCCCGGGAACGAGCTTTCCTGGAAGAAGTGATCCGGCAATTCCCAGATAAACGAAGAAGAAGAGTAGCATCCCAGCCTATTTTAGCAAGACATAGTTAGACAGGCACACGCGTACAAACAAACACGTGCACACATACAGAAATAGAAAGTTGAGGAAATGGCGGAGACCGATGGCCATGGTGGAAGAAGAGTTGAAAGAAGATGATTGAGATCCATCGCAAGATTCAGATTATCTTCTCAGTATCAAGTCACTGTAAGACTGTAACAACTAACAAGTCATTTGGAGGAAGAAATTGAGAAAATCCAGTTTGTGGGTGTGGCTAAGAATGGAGAGTTTGGCACTTAGCAGTAAATTTTATTGGGCTAGTTGTTTTGATTAACAGTTTTTTTTACAACCAAAGTTGAATAAACAGTTTGTAAAATAGGAATGGATTTAGGATGTTTTTAATTGGGCTGTAATTTGCAGGTCTGGTCTGGTCTGAACTGGTTTGGTCTGGTCTGATAATGTCTGGGTTCTTTGTATTTTTATAACTATCCAAGTCTGGTCTGGTCTGGTGTGGTCTGAACTAGTCTGGTCTGGTCTGGTCTGGTTTGGTCTGGTGTGGTCTGAACTGGTCTGGTCTGGTCTGGTCTGGTCTGGTCTTGTCTGGTCTGGAACAAATTACAGTCCAAGTAAAAACATCCTTAGTGATTGTTTACAATTTCGTTGATAATTTTTTAAATAACTTTTAAGTTTTAAGGACATCAGGTAATTTTTTATTAATATAATTGCACAACTATTTAAATTGTTTCTTATGATTTAAAAAAATAAAAATGTGTTAACCTAACTAATTGATTTAGTATATGGATTCGGACCCCCGAGTTTCATGACTGGACAGCGGCTCACACACGCTTACCAGATGTCATTTATATTATTGTATAGTTCATTTATCATTTGTATGTACTAGATTAATCTTTTATGTAATTGGCCCTATCGGGCCCATATTAGCGGCCCAACACGTTATTCTCTATATATACTCCCCAAGGAAGCTCTTGTAAACCTAATTTCATAATTCATTACTCATTCACAATACACTATTCATCATCTTTTTTACTTCATAGCTCAAATCTCTCCTAGTTATATATGTTCGTATACATATTATCCATCACTAATACTAGCTCATGTGGGCCAACTCCATCCGGCTAATATTATGACATGCTTCCTCTGTTTCTTAAAAGTTGCAACATTGTAATTTTTACATTATTCACACACCTTACTTTGATCACGATATTATACTAATATATGCAATCAAATTATTGTTTATAAAATGTTGTTAAATTTCTATTAATGTGAATTTCCAAAATATTAACTCTTTATAATGTTTAATAATGCGTAATTAAATATAATTACGGTCAAAGTTGTGTGTTGGCAAACATAAAAGTCAAATCGTTGAACGGGAACTGCGAGCAAATAGAACACCTTTAAAGAGTAAAAGACTGTCACATGAATCGTAAATGCATGAATGTGATGGACCATGAAATCCGCGACAACTATTAAAGAACGGATGATAGTAAGAAGGTGACACGGTGATCAAGATCAGTGAATTTATGTGGTTGATATTGTAATAATAAAATAAAAACGATTTAAAATCACACAAATTAATCCCAATGAATTTAAGGTTATTGGTGTTTTCCTAGGTTGGCTGATTGAGGCAAAAGGCCAAATAGATAAATCATTTAACCAAACACTCTAATTAACTGATTGATCTGATCAAAAGATGAAAAATTGGTAAAATCAACCAAAAATAGCTGATGGGCTACTAACCAAACACTCCAATATTATATTATACGGAGCATAATTAAAAGTTCAATAAATATTTCCTCTCCATTTACTGTTAAAACCCAACTTTTAATTACTTCAAAAGATGGAAAAGTCATATTTTGTAGTTTTTACAATGAAAGATAGTGCTTTTTAAAAATAATTTTTATTCAAAGTTAAGCAGTTCAAAACTAAAGTGAGAAAAGCCTCTTTTAACAAAATTTTCTCTTTTATTCTACTACCTCCGTCCCATTTTATGTATCTTAGTTTGACTTGGCACGGTTATTAATGAAGTGGTTGAAAAAGTAAAAGTTGTGGTTGAGGTTTGAGTATAATAAAATGAAATGATGTAGACCACATATTTCTTTCCAAAAAAGCTAAGAAAACACTTATTTTGAGACAACCCAAAAAGGAAAGTAGAACATTTAAAATGGGACGGAGGGAGTATAAAGTAAAAAAATAAATCATCAAACACTCTAACTTTTACTCTTTTCAATATTCAATTTTCATATATATAGAGAGCTGTTCCTGTCCGGAAATTCCGGACAGGAGCCTATTTGGGGGTCTTCCCGGTGGTATTTTTTGCTCAAAATTTTTGTGTATGTTTCTCATCAAGTCTAGTTCATCCATACCAAATTTGAACAAAAAATTCAATCGGGAAGGTCGTCAAATGATTTTTGCAAGTTAACTGGTCCATACCAAATTTGAGCAAAAAATTCAATCGGGAAGGTCGCCAAATTTGAGCAAATCATTTGACGACCTTCCCGATTGAGTTTTTGGCTGAATTTTTTTGTGGATAAACTAGACTTGATGGAGAACATGTCATAAAAATTTCATCAAAAAAAGCCAACGGGAAGGCGGCCAAACGCCGCGGTCCGGACGGCGGTTCCGGTCAGGAACTCCTGACCGGATCATTACTATACACACACACACACACACACACACACACACACACACACACACAGAGAGAGAGAGAGAGAGGAGAGAGAGAGAGGAGAGAGAGAGAGAGAGAGAGAGAGAGAGAGAGAGAGAGAGAGAGAGAGAGAGAGAGAGAGAGAGAGAGAGAGAGAGAGAGAGAGAGAGAGAGAGGAGATCAGGTACCTCCGGAGGGACGGGAGGGACCGTCCGGACAAGGCCATCAGAGGCCCTTCCCGGTGGAATTTTTTGATGAATTTTTTTGAGCATGTTCCTCATCAAGTCTAGTTTATTCATACCAAATTTCAGCTAAAAATTCAACCGGGAAGGCACTCAAATGATTTTTGGAAGATAACTGCGTTTTATATGTATATAAACTGCGCAGTTAACTTCCAAAAATTATTTGACTGTCTTCCCAGTTGAATTTATAGCTGAAATTTGGTATGGATAAACTAGACTTCATGTAGAAAATGCTCAAAAAAATTCATCAAAAAATTTCATTGGGAAGAGCCCCAAATGGCGACGGCCGGACGGCGGGTCCTGTCCTTCCGGCTGGACAAGATCAGGCCTCTCTCTCTCTCTCTCTCTCTCTATCTCTCTCTATATATATATATATATATATATATATATATATATATATATATATATATATATATCACAAATGTTCCTGTCAGGTATACCTGACAGGAACCGCCGTCCGGCCTCCTCCTTTTGGGGGCCTTCCCGGTGGTAGTTTTTGCTCAAATTTTTTGTGTATGTTCCTCATCAAGTCTAGTTCATCCATACCAAATTTCAGCAAAAAATTCAATCGGGAAGGTCGTCAAATGATTTTTCCAAGTTAACTGGTCCGGTATATGTATTTTCCGGACCAGTTAACTTGCAAAAATCATTTGACGACCTTCCCGATTGAATTGTTTTCTGAAATTTGGTATGGATAAACTAGACTTGATGAGGAACATACACAAAAAATTTGAGCAAAAAATACCACCGGGAAGGCCCCCAAAAGGAGGAGGCCGGACGGCGGCTCCGGTCAGGTATACCTGACCAGAAGATTACTCATATAATATAAATATATATATATATATATATATATATATATATATATATATATATATATATATATATATATATATATATATATATATATATATATATGGGTGAGATCACATACTAACCATTCCTCCCATGCTAACCTACAAACTATCAAAAACGGTGCATCTTTACATTATTTGTACTGCATATTGAAGTTCAAAGTGTTGCATATTATCTTTACTGCATATTAAAGTTCAAAGTTTTGCATATTGTTTTTATTGCATATTGAAATTCACATTGTGCATCTTTACATTATTTGTACTGCATATTGAAGTTCAATGTGTTGCATATTATTGAGTTAGTAAGTTAGTATTTTAAGCATGGTTAGTATGTGATCTCTTATATATATATATATATATATATATATATATATATATATATATATATATATATATATATATATAGAATAAAGATCAAATGAGAACAATTCCATGTTCATATTGGTATGTATTGTGGAGTTTTAGGACTTGCTAAACATGTGGTAATTTTTTTTCCCCCTTACACTTTTGAGGTTTTGCTTCCTTAGTTGTATGTTTTACACACCAGATTTTGAGTAAATCTAAATATATCATGAAAAGTGTCAAATAAGCCCTTCTGAATAGGCCATTAACAAACAAAAAAGTAGTTGCTCACAAACGTGTATAAGTGTTTACAAACATGTGTAAAATAGTGTTTAAAAATAAAGTTACACATAATTTATTCTTAAAGATATTAAGGATGTTTTTACTTAAAATATTTTCTAACCTAGCCATACTAACACTAAAGAAGTGCCTGACCAAAAATGGGGTATAACCCAACAGTTTTCATATTTTCAAATCTAGCATAAGCTGTATCATCTTCAATATAATGAGCAACCACAAAATACAAAGGATCTGAATGCACAATGGTAATTTTAAAAACATTTCGTCATCAGGTTTGCATGTTTCAGCACAAAACTGAGTAAAATGGTGCAAGTCATCTGAATAATGAGTCACTTGAAGAACTGAAATCATTTGAAAACTATTGTACTCAACCAGACAAACTAATAGGAACTTGTGGTCGGTTCAGACAAAACATAATTAAAACAATCTCTGTAATTTTTAAAGTTTACTCCACAAAAGGGCTTCTAGCATCTCATCTAGTGGGGGTCAAACATATCCGTACAGTAGCTGCTAGTGATGGCTCAACAAAAGTAAAGACCTGCATTTCATTAAACATAAACATGCCCCTTCACTTGTCACCACCCACCAACATCACCAATTGCGTCCTGAACTTGTTCTGCAGAAAAGACTTCAAACCTGTATAGAAAATAATAGTGAGCAGCTAAAGATGGTGCACGACCACTGGTCAGCAGGACCCTTGAACCTGCAAAACTAGGAAAATGCATAAGAGACCACTGCTTTCTGACAAGAGTAATTAAATATTTGATAGAACAATTATTGAACAAATATGCACAAAAGAAGAAACAAAACAGGGGAAAAAGGAGTCTGTACTTTTTAAGAAAACCATTTATGTTTTCACGAGATGATTTATCAAAATAAAAGATAGGTAAGGACATGTGTGACTCAAATGTAATGGTTGTTTATTTAACACCACACTTCGAATTTCTTAATTGAACACTACCAACCATATGTTTAGGCGTTTCTCCCTCTGCCCTCCAAAATCTAATCCCTGAACCACCCTTAGGCTGGAGTAGGGTTTTGACTCCTGAAGGGATAAAATTATCTGTTTCCTCTACCCGTATGATAATATAAAAACAATATCTGATTTTTTTCACTTCCCAATTAATTATGTATGATGAGGCATGCACCAAAATAAAACATTTGCGGACTTGGGTTAATGGGAGGAAACTGATGACCTAATTTCACATCCCAATGAATTATGTATGACAAGGCATGCACCAAAATAAAACATTTACGGACTTAGGTTAATGGGAGGAAACTGATGACCTAAGCTTCTTAAGTTTCTTTGAACCCCGACCCCCTTCCAATCAAATTACGTAAATGCTCTTTACTATGAGTTGAAGTATAAAGGGGTTTGCTTTATTCAATATCACAAATCAGTGGACCTGTACTCCACCTGCACAGTGGAAAATGGGCAGTGAGCTACATTTTTCAAAAACGGACTATTTTGTGCCAAAATAAAAATTGGAAAAAATATAATCCTTTCAGGGCATCAAAGGTCATTAATCATGATCAAATGAAGAGAATACATTGGCACAAACTAAAAAAATGTACCACTAATTGAAATAGCCATTCTCAAGCTCATAGCTGCTGCTGCTGGTAATCATCATAAGTTTTTCCTTCGTAATCTTCAGATCCATTTCTGCCATTAGTTTCATTTGCACCAAATTCACTGTTTACGGCAGAATCTCTCTGTTCTTTTTCCCTGTTCCATTTCTCAATCCTTGCTCTTCTCTCTGCACTACCTTCTCTAGTTGCACCAGTGTGCTCACTCTTTCCAGAATCATTATGATCCCTTTCCCTATTCCACTGTTCGATCTTTGCCCTTCTCTCAGCACTGCCTTCCCTAACCGGACTTCTGTTTCTCCTACCTGCAGGACTTCTACTTTGTCCACCTCTTCTTCCAGGACTTCTGCTTCTAGGTCTACGTCCCCTCTCTTGGTGACGATGATCACCCCTCCTGTGATATCCATGACCACCATGTGGTTGTTCTTCATGACCACGACGGCCATGAGGGCTACGGCTTCTACTATGGCTGCGTCTTCTTCGGCTCTTTCCAAATAACTGGCGTCTCAGATCTCTTCAAAAGAATGCACAACCATTCAATCACCATATATCAAAGAAAAAAGAGACCTATAAGATGCTTTAGACAAAAAAGAAATTAAAAGACACACCGGTTTATCTTTTTAAGATGCATGAAGTTGCAGTAACCCCCTCGGTTGCACACATTTTCCTCATATTGTCTACATGTAGCCTCACGGAAGTCAGTCACCGGAGAGAAGTCAACAATAATTGGACGTCCTACATAAGCAAATGGTGAATGAAGTTATAGCAATGGTTAGTGAAAATAAAGACATTGTTATGGTTACAAGAAATAGTTATGGTTTAAAAACTTTTAATCATTTAAATTCCAATAATTGTATCTTGAAACAAATTATAAATGTCCTTAGATGCTAAATGCCTAAACCTTGAATCATCACCTCTTGACAATAAATAGTGAAAAATATAGAAACCATTTTAGTATGAAGAAATGGACATTGTATAAAGAGCACCTATAATCTAGTCAGTTAAATTACAAGAATTACATAAAAAAGAAATAGAAAACTGTATGTGGCCAAACATGAAGACAACATCAAAAGATTCCTTTGAAGACAAGTAAAAAACATTGATTTTACACAGATGCGTCTGAATTTAGGATGTGAGCGAGAGTTGCATTACATTTTTATTCTCCAGAGAAATGACAATAAAAGAAAATAATAAAAGTGATATTTACACTATTCAACTTCAATTCACAAGTCACAACTTAAAAAAAACAGTACTAACCAGCATAAAACCTTCCTGACAGATTCTGAAGTGCTTTTGCAGCATGATCTTCCTCTCTGAATTGAACATACACATTACCGACCTAGACAGAAAAAGGAACCTACATTAGAGGATTAAATATACAGTTACACACTTAATTGGAAATCTGAAAAAACTATCTAATAAGAGAACTAGACATACCATGTGGTCAGCTAAATTATCACATATATTAAGATTCTCAATCTCTCCGTACTTGCTGAGCTCCTCAAACAAATCTTCATAGAAGTCCTGTACGTTTTCATTTTTTGAAAACACTCGTCAATTAAGGTTCACTTCGAGAAAAACTCGTCCAGAAATCAGAAAACGAAATCCATAAACCTACAGCTAAAAGATTCTAACGGAGGAACAATACAGATCAGACATAGAATTGGAAAGTACTGCTCTTACTAATGATTTTTCGCATACAAATTAACAGGTAATACCTCGAAGTGGGTCTGGATCTTGCGGGGATCGAGAGGTTGTCCTTGTGGGTCAACGCCGGGGGTGATCATGTCGGGGCGTTGATACATGTTTGAAAGGAGAATGGTGGGGCTGATGCTAGGTTTCGTGTGAAGGCGGGAGCAACGGTCTCCATGGCGGCAAGCGCCTATCTTGAAGTAAAACGGGCAGTTCACTCTATCCTTCTCCGTTCCGAATATCGACGCTAAGTGTTCCGCCATTGCTCTACTAAACTACAGGCACAGCTTTCTCTGTATTTTTGGTTGAAGAATCCAGCAGCTCCCAAGCAAGATTAGGGTTTCCGCGTTTTCCTATTTGTAGGGTTCTTCAGGTAAATAATGACAAATCGAAGGCTAATCTCGTCAAGGAGCGAGGACCATTTTTAGGGTGTTTGACGGAAAAGAGCACATTTTTTACATTGTATTCCAAAAAGTAGGGGTGGGCGTGGTCCGGAACGGTCCGGTAATTTAGTAAAACCCGTAATGTATCCGTGTGGTTTCTAACGGTCTGGTACGGTCCGGTTCTAAGGATGGAACCATTCGGTACCATGTCGTTTCGGAACGGTATAAAACGGTACGGTACAATGTCAAACACATGCTAAAAAAATTGGACAAATCTTGCGATTAGTAGATATCATCACACCAACCAATTCACAAGAAATGTTACAAAAATTGTATACATAGTACTAAAATTCACAAATACACAAATAATACAATAAGACTAAAAAAAAGTATAGCAAAATGATGATACACGAGATAAATATCATCTTTAATTTACTAAGTTCACGTGAAAATTTAAAAAGAATATCATCACATGATTGAATATAATAGAAAAATTCAATGTTCTTCATTGTTCTAGGTTAACTATTAGTTCTAATTAAATTAATAGTTGAACTGCGATATCTAAGATTCAAAGCATATTAATTAAGTTGTAAAATTGCATAAACGTGATACAACAAAAGTCATATACACTACATTTCTAAAACTCTATCATTTTTTCAATACATACCAAAATATAATATAAATTATCTAAAAAGAAAAAATAATGTATGCAACAAAATATAATATATATATATATATATGTATATATATACATTTTGCTATATTAGGGACACATGAATACATACTTGGGCTATAAAATTGTTGGTCTATACGAGAGATTTATTGGTATGGAAAAAATATAAAAATTTGAAATGCATTTTTCTTGAACGGTCCGGTTCGGTATTTTTCGGTTCTCAAAATCTAGGACCGGTCTCGTACCCGTTTCAAATGGTACGGTTTCGGTTCAGGATAAAAATCTATAGAACCGTTTTAATACCCGATATTCGATTCGGTACGATTACGGACCGGTTCGGTACCGGTTCGGTTCGGGTTTTATGCCCACCTCTACCAAAAAGTGCAATTTTTTTGACGTTTTCAGAGAGAGTGCAAAACGGAGTTGGCAGATCCGAATTCATCTTGTCAGTACGAAACTGGTTTTCGGAGTTACCAAGCTCGAAAATGGACTCCGAAAAATATGGTGGGAGGCCATTTTCGGAGTTGGCAAAGCCGAAAGTAGGCGTACTTTTATTTGTTGCCTACGAATTGTTTGTTGCGTTTGTTTTTGTGTTTTGAACTTTTTTTTATAATTCTTGTTCTAAAACGTATTTTGTTCAACATAATTAAAAATCATACAATATTTGTATTTTAAGTTGAATTTGCGTCTGATTCCCGATTTAGATAAAAACATGCGTTTTACAAAAATTTGACCCATTAAAATAAATTAGCACACATTTTACAAATGTGACTCATTAAATGTTTTGAGCACAAATAGTAAAAAATTTGTTACATTTACATTAACAAAATAATTTTTTGAACGTAATTCAGATTAAAAAATCGTACCCATTAAATAATGTGAACCTCGGAAAAGATGATTAAAAGTATCAATATGTTAATATATTTACAAGAACAAACTACATTGATTAAAAGTATCAATATATTAAATCAATGTGACGATTTTTAAAAATAGTTGACCCATTCAGTGTTATGAACTCCAAAGTAAATACAAATATAGTTTACAATATAACACGTTTAATTTATAAGTGACCCATAAAGTCATACGAATTCAAAATTAAACAAAGTTCATTGCACAATAAGTCATATTAAAGGTACACATAAAACATATGGCTAATAAATATTTTACAACATTAAAACAAAGTACAAAAAAAGATAACATTATAAGAGTACAAATACAAATCAATCATGTTGTCCTCTCCGTCTTGGACGCATATCCATCTCATTTGGAAATCTTGTTTCTTGACGGCGCCCAGCTCGAGAAGTTCTGGAAGAGTACTTAGGCGGTAGAAGAATGAACTCATTTTGTGGCCACTCATTCATATTCGGAAATGGCATGATATCATTGGAATGTGCATTTATGTAAGAACTCAGTTTGTATACCTCAGGAATAAGATAATCAACACGGCAATTTAGAAAATGGCACACAGAATGTGCATGGACGCATGGCATTCCGTTCATCCTCCAACAACCGCAGTCACAAACACGTCTGGATAGATTCACCGTAACAGGTGTTGCATTTTCTATGGAGACCGAGTAAATTCCTGTGTAATGGTTGTGTGGAAGAACCACAGTGTGAGGTCTTTGTTGCCAACGCTCCATAAGCTCTTTCCGAATGTTGTCCGGAAAATGATATCCAGCTTGCTGCCACATCATACCAGCAGTACGACGTTGGGCGAAGAGCTGGACTAGTTTGTCAAAAGTCGCTCGCACAAGGGCACTGATTGGCAATGTCCTACATCCTTTGAGAGCATTGTTGAAACTTTCTGAAAGATTTGTCGTTAAAATACCATATCGACAACCATCATAAAAACAAAGTGCCCACTTTTCTTGGGGAATGTCATTTAAATACTTGAAAGCTCTCTCGTTAGTAGACCGAATTTGTTGCATGTACTGATGAAATTCACTTACAATTGGGGTACTTCCCGCCCGCCAACACAACTTCTTTAGTTGTTTACTTCTAAATTGGGTCATGAAATTGCTTCTAATGTGGCGAAGACAATAACGTCTCTGAATTCGAGGTGTTCCCAATTGTCCCACATTTCGAAATGCATAATCTATAGCCGCATGCCTATCGGAGATGATGCAAACATTTCGATCAGTGGGTATGATATGTGTCACAAGCAATTGTAAGAACCACTTCCAACTAGCACCATTCTCACTATCTACCACTCCAAATGCTAGAGGGTAGATTTCACGGTTGGCATTCATTGCCACCGCGACTAGGAGATGACCCTTGTACTTGCCATACAAGTGAGTGCCATCAATTGACACCACCGGAAGACAGTGATTGAAGCCGTCAATCGCCGCTTTTATTGACCAAAATGCAAATTTAAACTCATATGTTCCTTGGGTGTTGGTGTTATCACTTTGAATATCAATTATGCTCCCTGGGTTAGTATACGCCATTGCTTGTAAGACATTTGGGAGATCGTTGTACGATGTCTCCCAATTACTGAACCGTTGCTCCAATGCTAATATACGCGCATACCATGCTTTCTTATATCCAACACGAATGTTATACTTTTGATGTATGTCATTCATTATTAGCTTAATACTATAGTCTGGTTTTATGCGAATCGTAGAACTTATTTCAGAAGCGATGAACTTACTTGTAAGCAGTTTGTCGATTTTGGCTCTTGTGTAAGTCGGAATGCAATTATGGCGGGGTTGATACTGCTTTACTTTCCAAGAGTCAGTGTCCTTCACTTGTGCTGCTTGAATGTGCCATGAACATTGCTCTGGATGGGCGCATTTGGCCCTCCACTATGTAGGACGTTTTGACACATTCTCGAATGCTCGGTACTCTTTCAAGGTTTGAATAGAGACTGCTTTTTTGAGTTCGTCAAACGAAGCATATATCCTTCCCACATGTATTGGATCTTCCACAAGGTAGGCGGGTTCAACAAACGGATCCTCTTGGTTGTGTGGCACAGCCCAAGACGAGTCATGACTATCATCACTATCATCGGAAGCGCTCTCCTCTTCCGAAAATGAAAGATTGTTGTAGTCAGGGTCATCTTCATCCTCCACGGCCTCATGTGAGGGATCCATATGGACCATTGAAGGACCTTGATTTAATGTAGATGGCACCGGGTTGCGCCGCCGCCGTCATCATCCCCCATCTCGCTTTGCATCTGAATGTTACCTCGATCGAAACGCCTTTCGCGTGTGGGATCGCCGCTCCCACGATGAGGGCGTGGTGGACGATGAACAACGGGAGGATCAACATTCCCAGCTTCATATGTGATGATGTCATGATCAATCGCTTCTTCAGCACCAAGTCGTGTAAGACAATCTACGGCGTGTGTAATGACATCATCTGGGTCATCTTTGACTCGTAATCGGCGAATAATCTCCCCCAAACATTGAATCTACAATATGCATCATATTGTATAATTTATTTCAAATAATTTAATTATAGATTTACAAGTTAAAGGAATGGTTACCGCAATAGCCGCTTGTGAGTGAGCAGGTACGAAACCCACGGTGGGACGGTCAACATACGGGTTAGTAATTCGTCGTTTTCCTACCCTGCGGTACCACGCGCGATACGAAGCACTAGTGGTTTGACCATCGGCAAACCGCTGAAATGGAAATAATTTGTTCCAGCGTAATTCCCATTCTTCAACATGGTTGCCCATAAATCGTGATACAGTGCTATGGTGACGATGGCCTACCACCACGGGATTGGGTTCATTCTGATATGCGTTGAATTGACGACAAAACCTCCCAGGATAGTACGCCTCAGAAATATGTGTATATATCAATGGAACCTCCACACCCCACAAATCGTCTGCAAAATGGCAAAAGTCTGGCAGGGCCATCAACGGATAGGGGGTCCATTCAAACTGCAAAATATCTCTCATTCAGTAAACACACATAAGTATTTATATCATTTAATTGATCCAAAGTATACCTCATCTTTCGTGATCCGATCTAGTTGGTCCCTGTATATCCGTAACGAAAATCTGTTTGTTTGTTGCCAAGATGACATGCCCACCTACATTTAGTTTCCAATAATAATAATAATATAATTACATAAATAACATAGATTAAGAACATAAATATACAAATATCAATTAGTTTATTTATATTATACCTAGCAGCATATGGGAAATCTAAAATACTTTCCAAAGGGAGATGACCTTGGGGGCGAAACATCGGCAACCTTTCCCATGCCCAAATTTGTAAAAGGATTAAACATCCTCCAATCTGTTTAGCCTTGGCCTTGGCCGCCTTACACATGGTATGATACAGATAGGCCAAGACTGCTGAGC